AGCCCCCGTTGCAGGTGTTCAGAAAAGAAATGCTTTGGAAAGGGGTGAGGCATGGCTCTCCACCTGTGTGAGTAGGTGTGTGGCTGTGCACATGCCCATGTAAGTGTGCATGCATGCACGCACGTGCAAGCAGGAGGGCGCACACGCAGGAGGGTGTGTCATGTCTGCTTCTAGGAACCTGCATGTTCCATGCCCGTGCTTCCATCTGTGAACACGCTCGTTCTGCTGCCTCTCGTCTGGAAACAGGGGTGCTCTGCGACAGGGCCCAGTGCCTCCCTTGACGTCAGCCCCTCCTGGCACCACCCAAATGATGGTGGCTCTGGAATTTCTGCAGGGGCGGCTTGCGAGCATTTTGAGGGGGCAGGAGTCCCAGGGGCTTGCCTTGGCCTTGCATCTGCACAGCAAATGTACGCTTTTTGCAAGCTCAATGTCTATTTGGGCACCTGGGTGATGTGCCAGCACAGAGGGGCCTGAAGTCACAAACCTTTAGCATAGGGGGGAGCTTATTGGGGCCCCTCCCACATCCTCACCTGCCTTTCTCAGCTTGCCCCCATGCCTTGCAGTGTCCTGCCCCGAAGAGGTGAGGGCCGAGGTGCAGAGGTGGGGTCCTGGGGTCCCAGCCTGGCATAGGCCTTCCCCCATCTGGGACCATTGGTTCAGAGGATGCCTTACTCCTGTGACTGCAAGGGGAGATGGGGAGGAGCTGGGTGGGGTGAGAGGGGAGGATGAAGAGCTAGGGAAACTGTGGAGAAGAGGAGATGTGAGGGAACAATAAAGGAATAGAGGAGAAGGAAGGAGAAGGGGGAGACGGGAGAGAAAGCACAGAAGTCTGAAGAAGGTGAGAGGAGAGGAGATGGGAGGGGTGGGGAGGGAGAGGAGGAGAGGAGGAGGGGCAAGGAGGCTGAGAGCATTATCAGCACTTAAAAAGAGAGCAGCTCCGTTCTTCTCTGGCACAAATAATGGCTTTTTATGAATAAATCATGTGTCAGACGCCTCCCAGGGAGTGGGCATGGAGGGGGGCGCGTCTGCTGGGCTCCGAGGCTGGCGGAGAAGGGCCAGCGGCAGACCCCCAGCTGCAGGGGTGTTGCCCCCTTTCTCCTGATGGGGCCCAGCAGGACAGAGGCGGTCTCTGGAATGATGGTGGGCCCAGCCAGGCACAGCTCAGTCGTTACTCTGAGGTGGTCTCGCTGTTCCCTGCTCAGGAGCTAGGCCAGATCCCAGGGTCTGAGAGTCCCTCCACTCCCCTCCCCTCCTCTCCCCTTCCTTTCCACAGCAGATCAACCCAGAAGATTCTCTGGCAGGGGAAGGCCAGCCCGAGCGCTCCCCGAGAAAGCGGTATGCTCCAAGACAGGCAGGCACACCCAGGACGGCGTGCAATGCACATGTGGAGACGGGCGGCAACTCACACAGGGTCGGCTCCACAGCCTGGACACACATGTGGGCACACTCAGAAACAGCCCCGCCGTCATTCCCACCACACACACACACACACACACACACACACACACACACACACACAGGTATGCACACACTCGGGGAGGGCCA